TTTATGTGTATTGGTGTGAAGGTGTCAGGTCCCCTGGAACTGGATTTTCAGACAGTTGTGAGCTGCCATGTGGGTGCTGGGAATTGAACCCGGGTCCTCTGGAAGAGCAGTCAGTGCTCTTAACCGCTGAGCCATTACTCCAGCTCCCAAGACTTGCTTATTCTTGATTCTTGCTCTCTCTCAAGAAAAACCAAACCCTTTTATTTAGTTTTTTTTTTGGGGGGGGATTTTGTGTGTATATACGGTTTATCTTCATCACACTCACCCCCAGATGCTCTTCTCCCCCTCCCTTAGATGCCTCCTATACATTTTCCTCCAACCTTCATGTCCTGTCTCTCCCTACCCCCAAAGTCACCGAGTCTTATTAGTGCTGCCTGCTGGACTGTTGCCCATCTTGTTGGCTTGCTCCTGCATAGGTCTTGTGCAGAGGTAGTTCATGAGTGCATGGCCCTGTTGTGTACGAAGACAGGATTTCACAGCACTCCTCCCAGTCCTCCAGCTATACATTGCTTCTGTCCCTCTTCCTCCACATTTCCGAGCCCTAGGAGGAAGGATCTGATCCAGACGTCCCATGACTGAGCCCTGGACAGTCACTTATTCTCAGCACTTGACCAGTTATGAGTCTCTGTATTAACAGCTGCCTGGCCAAGGTTGAGAGCAGCGCTGATCTATGGATCTGTGATATAAACACACATTTTTAGAAGGCTGATTGACAGCATGTCTATTGAGCAGAACAGCAGTAGGTTCCCCTCTCCAGAGACAGTAACTTGCTGGATCAGGGTACAGAACCCTGCCATTTGCTCTGGTCTCAGGCCCTTTCCTAATCAGACCCACTTCCCACTGCCCAGCAGGTGCTTACAGCTAGTATTCAGGCATCTGTACTGCCCTGCCCTTGGGGTCCTGACAGGATAGGTGCTCAGCTGCAGTCATTGAGAGCATCTTCTATGTATGTTCACTACGGTCCCTTTCGAAAGGTGGGCTGCCCACCTCCCGTCTCTCTCTCCCTCTCCCTCTTTTTCTCGCTCTTTTCTGCCACTCTTGTCCCCAGGGACCGGTCTCTGCCCCCCAGTCCCGCCCCCGCTCCTTCTCTCTCCGCTTCCAATGAAGAGCCTTGTTGTATAGCGTGACTTCTATTTGTCACGTTTTTCAACTATAGCACTTACCAAACCTCATCTTTACCCCAGTAATGGGGTCCTCCCCAGTCCTCAGGGATTACATCACAATCTGCACTCCGTTGTCTTCAAATTGGAGATTTACATCCAGAACCTGGGATCGCCTGCACCTGGACCCCCTAGATTCTGAAGAGTTCCCAGAGACCACAGTTTACTTCCCCAGCCCATCCCTCTTCAGAACACTTACTGCCCTAGGATGGTGTCAATGGTCTTTGTTGGCATCTTTTCTTCTCTTTGTTATGGGAAATATAATGTGTCTGCTCCCAGGGTCCAACTCTGACTCCATCCCTCTTGCAAAGTCAAGAATTCATTTAGGCCAGGTGTGGTGTATACCTGTAATCTCAGCACTTTGGAGACAGAGGCAGGAGGATTACCAGTTTGAGGCTAGTTTGGGCTACGTAGTGAACCCTGTGTTAAATAAACAAATAAACTAAAGCAAACCCCAAACAAAACTGGACTTCATTCTTTAACTAATTTTCCTATGGTCTGGCTTCCAAGCACCCTTTGCAGGCTCATGTATTGAGTTCCTTGTCCTCTGTAGATGACCCTATTTTGGGAAGTGAAGGACAACTTAGGAGTTAGAGGAAATAGATCACGGGGGTGGGGGGTGACCTGTCTTCAATGGGTCTGCCTGGAAGGTTGTCTCTCATCTCTCTGTGTCTTTTCTATGATGAGGTAAACAACCTCCTTGGCCATGATGTTCAGTTTCACCTTAGGCCCAAATCATAGAGCCAGCTGACCACAGACAGAGCCATGAACCAAATCCTTTCTCCTTTAAAAAGTTTTTTTTTTTTTGGGGGGACTTTAATGACTTTTATTGTATGAATATGAGTATTTGCCTGCATGTGCACCATGTGCACGTGGTGTCTGTGGTGACCAGAAGAGGGCATCCGATTCTTTGGGACTGGAGTTACAGATGATTGTGAACCACCATGTGGGGGCTGGGAATTGAACACAGGGCCTCTGAAAGAACAAGCAATGCTCTTAGGCACGGAGTCATGGCACCTTTCCAAGTTTTCTCTCCTTTTAAGTTGTTTTGTCTGATATTTTGTCCAGTGATATAAAAAAATCTAAGACTGGGACCAAGCCAAGGCAAACCTTGTGTTCAGGACTCGGAGTAACTTTTCCACCCCACTGCTCCCTGGATGCTGTGAGGCCTGACGAGTGTTTGTGAACTGAGTGGGTCAATAAACAATTTAGATGGCTCCATCTCTCAATCAAGCAAGCCTTGTGCCGAGAGAGAAAATGGGAACATCTCTAGTGCTTTTCTTAGAAGTCTCCATGTCTCTGGATGACATGTCTCTGGATGACCCCATAAAGTTCAAACACTGATGGTCTCAGTGGGTGATACATCCAGTTAAAAGCCAAAGTTAGGACATGAAAATGCCTGGCGTAGGGTTCTGGAATCTTCCTGCAAATGAGTCAGTTGCTTACACTAGACATTTCTTCATGGATATAGTTGGTGTTTGCAATGGATTTCCCAGGTGGCCCTCCTTGTGCTAACCCTGTGGGCTACGCCATTGGAGGGTTCAGGCTTGGGGTGGATGCACTTTTTTGTCCAACTTTATCTTCCTGGTACTTCATCCTCATCTTTTCCTGGCGTGGATTTCCAGAATGAGGTCCAAAGGTCGGTGTCTAGGGTTACAGTTCCAAATACTCCCTGTAGGTGTCTCCCTTTGACTCCAGAAAAAATGAATTTGTGCTTGACAGAGACACTGTTGTGAACTCCAAGTTACCCAGGAACTTGGGTGTGGATCTGCTGCAGGCCTTTTATCCCAGCACTCGGGCAGAGTCAGGAGGATCTCTGTGACTTCAAGGCCAGCCCGGTAGACTTTGGAAGTGTAAAGAGAAAGCTGGTGTGGGCAGTAAACTGCTGAAAGAGTCTCAGAATAGCAGGTACAGCATGACATTTGGCAATGGCAGAAATGCTCAGTTATCTTCAAAACCAGCAGATTTTGACTACACAAGGCTGTTGAGCTGAAATGTGTCTAGTGCTACTGGGGACTGAGGTTTACATTTCAAGTGTGTGTAATTTGAGCATCTATGTGTGTGCAGCCAATGCTTGCTGTATCAGGCAGCCTAGCCTCGATCTCCTCCTTCCGTCCATCATTTCAGCGAAGGATAACCAGAAGAAGCTTAAAACAGCAGCAGACAGAAAGTCTCCTCACCCATGTCAGAGTGAGTCACTGTGGGACAGTGATGATTTGGGGGCCACGGGATAACGGCTGTGACCTTAAAAAGCAAACCTCAGTTCCCTCATTTGTAAACTGGGAATAGTCTGACATGGTAACACAATCGATGCTCTCAGCATTGGGAGAGCTGACTCAGGAGAATAGCTAGTGTGAGGCCAGCCTGGGCTACATAGTAAGACCCTGCCTCAAACAAAATAACAGCTTATTTTGAAGAGCTAAGTATCACTCAGCTTGCCTGTTCAGGGTGAAGAAAGCAAACAGGTTAGTCAGGGGCCAATTAGGATTCAGTCTTTGTGTTATCTTCATTAACACAAGGTTCAAAATCAAAGAGACAGAAAAACACAGGAAGAGAACAGAAATTGTCCCAGAGTTCCCAGATTGTAAGATTTTGTTTTTACCATATTTATCTTGTTGTTTTATTTCTACTCGTGTGTATCTGTTTGTGTATGTATATTCTTTCTTTCCTTTTCTCTTTTTCTTTCTTTCTTTCTTTCTTTCTTTCTTTCTTTCTTTCTTTCTTTTTTGGTATTTCGAGACAGGGTTTCTCTGTGTAGCCCTGGCTGTCCTGGAACTCACCCAATAGACCAGGCTGGCCTTGAACTCATAGAGATCTGTCTGCCTCTGCCTCTCTGTACTGGGATGAAAGGCATGCGCCACCACCACCTGGCCTATACTTTTTCTAAATTACAGACAAGATGATGCCCTTGAACCCCACCCCAGAGCGTCAGTGTGATTCCTAAAGAGAAAATGTCGTTCTAGCCATAGCCACAGGGCCGTTTCCTGGGTCAGGCAATTGACGGGAGTTGACACAATTATCTAATTGTGATTAAATGTCACCAACCGTTCCAGTGATATCCTCTACAGCAAAAACAATACCCCAGTTCTCTACTACATCCGTTGTTCTGTTTCTAGCCCTCCTTCCACGCCATCGACATTGACGACAAATGCAGGCAGCGATCTTGCGTCACGTCCCTTAGGTAGGGTCTGACTGACATCTCTTTGTGATTGGCCTCAGGTTGTATGCCTTTTGACAATTCTTGGAAAATAATGTCCCCTTCTCCTATCAGCAGGATATCAGTTTCTTGGCCTGGGAGAATAAAATCTGATGATAAATATTCCAGGTAAGATGAAAAAATCTAGAAGCTTCTAAGGAGCTAAACTAATGGTTTAGTTCCCATTAACCACTGCAATTAGCTCAGAGTTTTCAGGGACAGGGGAAGAGGCTGAAGGGAAGGACTAGAGAGAGCTGCCGAGAGAATAACAGCAAACGCTTGAGCCCAGGATGAGCAGAGGCCGGGAAAGTGCTGAAGGCAACAGAGCGAGCTTTTAAATTGCTTACTTGAAAAACCTCTCATTTGTTTCTCTGACGCTTAAAAAAAAAATAACAAAAAACAAAAAACAAAAAAACCAGAAGGTACGCACTGTGGAAAATAGAAAAGGAATAAAGAAAAAAATAGCAGCTGGAGGCCTGTTAATCTTGCAGGCTCGTGCCTTCCCAGCGTCCAGAAAAGCCTTTCCAAACTGCTCTTGATGTGGGGAACAATGAGGAAAAGCCACGTCTTCTCTGGAGAGCAGTGACGTCAGGCCAGCGGAGGCCGGCCCTGAGGGAAGCTTGTGCTTCCCGCAGGACCGCGTCTGTAAGCTGGGAGGGACAAGTGGCTGGACACCTCGGAGAACTCAGAGCTTCTCTTGCCCTATCTGTGGAACTCTCAGGCTGCTCCTGTATGTTTGGAGCCGAGAGAGGAGTTTACTGATTTTTAAAGATACAAAGGAGAGGAGAGAGAACTGCAGACCCAGCGCGTCCTTCTGGTTCCATGGGAGTGGCATGCAGGCAGGCTAAGAAGAACCCTCCTTGAAGGCAAAGCTGGAGCGTACAGGAGGGGCCCGGGAGCAGGTCTTGTCCAGTTGCTGTCCTGAAAGTCTGTGCAGCCCTAGGGACAGGCCTGGGGACATCCTTGGGCCTGGAGGGCTGAGTACGGCAACTGTCGCAACTATGAGAGGGTACCCAGGGTACCCAGAGCAGGTCTGCGAGGCTTGTGGGGTCCAGTTCACCCTAAGGTAGGGCACTGGGAGACAGTTCTGTGGAACAGGGCCTGATAGGGTGGGAAATGGCGCCTCCTTCCAGCATCCTCACAGCAGATTTAACTGAACACACCTGCAAGGTGTCTTCAAAACTGCCCCGGCAAATCTTCCAATAGAGGATTAGCCTCATCTCTGGCAGACCGATGAGGAAACAGAATACAAGGTAAAAGAGATGGCAGATATAGTGTGTGCCTTGCCCGTGTCCTCAGCCACCCAGAAGTGACATCTGACTCCGTCTCTATGTACCCATGGCTTTTTGTATCTCTGTGGGGCATGCGTGCGTGTGTTCGTGAACACACGCTTTTGTATATGTTTGTATGTGTGTGTGTGTGTGTTCACTGGGTCTTTATAGTGTGGGCCTCTAAGACAGTGAGGGATGGAAGACGATGCATATGTATGCTACTTAATAAGACTATTATTATTATTAGTAGTAATTATTATTTTGGCTTTTTCAACAAGGTCTCACTATCTATCTCTGACTGTTCTGGAACTATGTAGAGAAGGCTGCCTTCCAACTCACAGAAATCCTCCTGCCTGTGTGCACTACCATGCCTGGCCAAGACATTTCATTTCATTTATTTATTATTTTTAAATTTTATTTAAATTTATTTTATGCGCATTGGTGTGAAGGTGTCAGAGCTCCTGGAACTGGAGTTACAGACGGTTGTGAGCTGCCATGTGGATGCTGGGAATTGAACCCAGGACCTCTGGAAGAGCAATCAGTGGTCATAACCACTGAACCATCTCTCTAGCCCCAACTATTTTATTTTTTAACTGTGGCAAAACATAGAACTTCAAGGCTGAGGATGCAGCTTAGTGGCAGAGCGCTTGGCTAGCACACATGAGGACCTGAGTTCGAACCCCAACACCAGACAAACAAAGGCAGAAAACAGTGAGTTTATGGCCTTTACGCTGCTGAGTGTACGTGCCACTGTTAACTGTAGGTACCACATGTGAGTGATAGATTTCTAGAACGTGTCACCTTGCAAAACTGAAACTCTGCACCCTGTGGAACAAGTCCTCGTTTCCTTCTCGCCCAAGCCCTGGTGACCACATCCTATTTTCTGTCTTTATGAATTTGACGGTTCTAGAAACTTTGTATAAATGGCGTCAGGCAGTTTTGTTCTTCTGCGACTGACATTTAGCATAATGTCCTGAAGTCCCCTCCCCGTTATAGAATATATCTGGATTTCCCTTTTCTTCTTTTTGTTTCCAGGGAGGCTTTTACTATGTAACCCAGTCTGGCTCGGAACTCACTGTGTCACTGAGCCTGGCTTTGAACTCAGGCTCCCCTCCCCGCCCCCCCCCCCCGCCCGTGGGCGGGGACTTGTAGGTGTGTGCTGCTGTGCCTGCTTGAATTTCACTCTGTTCACGGCTAAAAAATCTTCCAGTGCTTTCATATTGACCACCTTTACTGTTCATCTGTGGGTGGATATTTGGCTTCCTCTTACCTGTCGGCTGCTGGGGCTAAGGCTGTAGTAAACATGAACGTGCAAGTCTTTTTTCAAGAGTTATTTGCAGTCTGGTCCTGTTTCTTAGTTTCTTTGGGCAGCTACAACATAAAACTTTGGACTAGGGAATTTTTTTAAAGTTTTTTTTTAAATTAAAAAATTATATCTGGTGAGGTGGTGCATACCTTTAATCCCAGCACTCAGGAGACAGTGGCAGGCAGATCTCTGTGAGTTCAAGGCCAGTCTAGTCTACAGAGCAAGTTCCAGGCTAGCCAGAGGTACACAGTGAGACCCTGTCAAAAACAAACAAATAAACAAATAAAAAAACCAAAGACAAAAATCCCCCAAATTTCTTTTTTCATTATTATTATTATTATTTATTTATTTAGCTTTATTTAATGTGCATTGATATGAAGGTGTCAGATCCCCTGGAACTGGATTTTCAGATAGTTGTGAGCTGCCATGTGAGTGCTGGGAATTGAACCCGGGTCCTCTGGAAGAGCAATCAGTGCTTTTAACCGCTGAGCCATCTCTCCAGCCCTCAAATTTCTTTATATCTTTATTTATGTATATGGGTGCTTTTTCTTTTTTTTTTTAAATATTTATTTATTACGTATACAATATTCTGTCTGTGTGTATGCCTGCAGGCCAGAAGAGGGCACCAGACCCCATTATGAGATGGTTGTGAGCCACCATGTGGTTGCTGGGAATTGAACTCAGGACCTCTGGAAGAACAGGCAATGCTCTTAACCTCTGAGCCATCTCTCCAGCCCCCATGGGTGCTTTTTCTGCACGTATGAATGTGTAACAAATGAGTGCTCGGTACTTGTGGAGGTCTCCAGAGGACACTGGATTCCCTGGACCTAGAGTTACAGGCATTTATGAATTGTCATGTGGGTGCTGGGAACTGAACCTGGGTCCTCTGCAAGAGCAGCAAGTGCGCTTAACCGTTGAGCTGTCTCCCCAGCTCCTGGACTGGGTAATATTAAATAATAGATTTTTTTCCCCCATAATCTGGCAGCTGGGAAATCCGAGATTAAGACTCACAATTTGTTGCCTGGCAAGGGCTTTCTCAGTGTCCTCTGGGAGGAAGGATGCTGTGTCCTCATACTGAGGCAGGCAGAAGGCCAAGCTAGCTAAATGTTGCCGCTTGAGTGGTTTAGGAGTTCCTCAATCCCACCCACCGGGAAGGCTTCAGGTCCCTCACCTCCTCTAGCCACCTATCTATCACATTGGCCTGACCTCAAATTTGAAGGAGATGTATTCAAACCATGGCAACATAGAAGTGTGATTGTTGATTATATATAGTATTATCTTCAAAAAATTTCAGCAATTTCTATTATCATTTTCCAGAGTGACTACCAGATTTTATTGAGACAGTATTGAGATGTGTCCTGAACGTTCCCCAGGGTCCCTAGTGGTATCCTAAACATGAAGCCTTTTTTCCCATTGGTGCCTTCTCTTGTCTCTCACAACTCCACCCCTTCCTGTTTACTTCCGGGCTCACCACCCAAATTCACCCAAATTTAGTATCAAGTCTTCATCGTGGTCTTTTCTGCTGGGAACTCGTTAAGGCTTGCTGCTTGCTTCAGGTTCTGGAACTCCTAGGTGGCTCTTCTGGGATCTGTCGCTGTATAATGAATTGCCACAGTCTGGCGGCTACAGGTGGCTTTATTACTCTGTAGGTTGACTGGGTTTGGCTGGATGGCATCTTACAGAGGCGCCTGCAGGCTCCGCTGTGCTGATGTCCAGAACAACCAGGAGCTCAAGGGCAACAGGCAGGCCAGGAGTATGCTAAAAGATTTTTCTGAAATGGCATGGGGTCACCTCTATCCCACGCTGGTAAAAAGTACTTTCAGGCTCTCTCGATACAGGAGAGGGGGAGAAATGAATCATGCTACAGTTTGAATATGAGATGCCCCCACAAGCTCTTGTTCACAGACAGTGGTAGAAAAAAACCATCAAGATGTGGGGCCTAGTTGGAGGAATAGGCCAGTGGGGCCGGGTCCTTAGGTGTGTATCTTACCCTTTACCCCCTCTGTCTCTCTGTGCTGTTTGATTGGCCTCTCTGAGCAGACTCTTGACTCCGTGGAACTCTGCCTCACCGCCGGTCCACAGCGATGGAGCAAGCTGGCCCTGTACCGAAGGTGGGAGCCCAGATACCACACTGCAGAACATATGGGCAGGATATCTTTGTGGACCTCAGAGCCAGGACACAAACCTAGTCAGTATGCTTTGAGAACTCCTCATTGTAAACTCTATTTTGCCTCTACTGAAGACAAGGAAGTCTGGTCATTTCTAGAAGACCCGTGAACTGAAAGTAATGCAAACCTTGAGGAAGACTGATTTATCCAGATCCCATCTTTAAGTTCAGACTGATAGGTCTCAAGTGATCCCAAAGTATAGCGTCAGCAGTCTTGACAGGGACTTGGGAAGCTCAGAGCAGCCCTACTTTAGCGTGTTTGGGATAATTAGCGACAACTCTGGTGGGTTTGGCAAGGTGGCCTGGCAGTGCTTGCCTTTGCCAACACTGTTGGTCTCAGTTTGATCATTGGAAGCCACATGGTTGCCAGAGAGAACTGTCTCCCTAACATTGTCTCCTGACTTCTACATGTGTGTTGTTAAGGCTAGCCCGGGCAACTTAGTAAGACCCTGTCTCAAAAGGAAAAGAAAAGGAATGGTGTGCGAATAGCTCAGCGATGGAGTCCTTGCCTACCATGTGTGGGACCCTAGGCTCAATCTCTGGTACTGAAATAAAAAAAGTCTCTGGAGATGTGTTGTGAGGATTGTGAGTCAAAAGGATTGATTATTCTAGACTTCCAAGATAGGCCTCAGATGCCAATTATGTGTCCTTGTGGGAGAGAATCTCGGAAACCTGAAACACACCTCACACAGGAGAAAATGACGTGCCCATGAAGCAGAGATTTGAAGGCACCACCCTTGGAGAGAGGTGGCCCCAAGGCAGGGAATGCCAGCAGTTGTTAGCAGAGGCAGAGAGTCTCCGCTGGGGCCTCGGTTGGACACACTGATCTTGGTCCCAGTACATTGATCTCACTCTCTCCATTTTTAGTCCCAGACCTCTCGACAGAATGGTTGCCAGCTCTCTCAAGGGAATGGCCCAAGAGAGTGAGGCAGGAGCCGCTGTGTCTTTTATGACCAGGTCACATGCTACCATCTCACAACAGATTATGCAGATGAGTGCTCAACATGGGAGGGGACTTCTGGGGGTCCAGCTACCAGGAGATGGGGTGTTCTGGTAAAGGCTAGCCGTCTCAGAGCAGTGGAAAGGGGTGTCATGTGACTGGAAGACCAGGATGAACAGGCTGGCTGCAGAGGTGAGATCTGCTTCAGTCGGGTCACTCAGGTTCTGGCTCCGGTTCCAGGGTGGAGAGCCTTTCCTTCATCCTGCCCATCAGCCTCTGCCTAGGCTGCCAGGGAGCCAAGGCCTCCTCTGGGCACGGCTGGATCCTGTTACACTGTCACAGAGCAAGACAAGAACTGTGGAGCCTGTGGCAGGAGACAATGGCCTCCATTGAGGAATTATGACGTAAAGGAACCAGTCTGCAGTCACCAGTGTGCAGAAACACAATAGGTGTTTCAAGAGGGCCCAGGAGGTGCTCAGAGGAGACAAAGATGCTCACTACCATCCTGGCATTCCCTCCCTCTCTGAGGTTTCCAACACTGTGCCAAGAGAGGAATGTCTCTAGGATCTGTCTGAAAAGGTCAGTTGTTAAAAATCTGGCTTCTGACCTTCATTCAGTTTGTCCTTTCCCGATCTGCCTTCCAAGAGAAAGGCCCCCACCTAGGTGCTGGCAGTGGCGGGAAATGTTAGGGAAAGGTTTAAGCGTGGCTTGTGACGGCTTTGTCTATTTCCACAGCTCCTGCCTCGACACCTCAAGTCCAGCAGAGTACTGGGTGACATCATATCTCAAGCACTTTGTGTGAATGCAGACATTTGTCAGCTGGGAGGATGGGGACTGATTTTGTTCTTGGGCTTGAGCTGAGCCCCCAGCCCCAGGGACTGGCTTTATTGTTCTCATATGTTAAGATATGATTCTGCAATGCCGGCTGTGTCTAAGAACCAGAACACAGGGCAAGAAGTCCCTTTCTTAGGACCTTAGCCAGAAGACGCCAGCCCAGTTCTTCTCCTTTACTGTTCTGTAGATTTGGGAATTCCTGGTGGGAATGTGGAGAAAGGGCCTTTGTGGGGAGACCTCTGTTGATCTGGAACTATAGGACTAGTTTCCCCTGCGAGGCCACCTGGACTGTTTGTGATGACAGCTGTCCAGCTAGGCACAGGCAGCTATTCTGACTGAGCTTAGCCACTTACGTCGGGTGTGACCTTTGTAAGGTAGTCTTTGGGTGAGGGCTTTGTGCAAGGGCTGGCTGGCATTTCTGTGGGTGTTTCCTCTCCCAGCAATCATTTTGGGGAGCTGCCTGCCTTCTTCTGTCCTTCGTAGAATCAGCAAGGACATTGTAGGTTTCGGGATGGGGATACCGAACCTCAGTTTGCTCCATGCCTTTATTTACTTGAATGTCTGAGGTCAGGAACAGCAATGAGTATGTGGAAAAATCCCATAATTAAAATCAAATTTCAGTTGCAGGGAGAACTTTGACTTTGAAAGGAAAATAGTTGACAATATTTGTAAAAGAATAGCAATCATATACTTGGGCAAACTGCTACTCCCCAGTTCCATTAACCCGGCAATTTCTAATTGGAATCTAGACTCTCAGAGCATCTGTCAGAGACGTCCCATTTACTCCCCTCTGGGCTTTGCCTGGTTCCCCGTCTACTCAGTTTAGTGTCTTGGGATGAGGGATTCTAAAGTCTGTACCAGTGGGTCCCTAAGATGTTGTTCTAGCTGGTCCTTTTTGATAGTACTTAGGGGACAGGGAGAGAGTCAGAATGTCTCCTTCTCCCTAATCCCTTCCTTTCTGAGTCCCTGTTTGTTGGGTCCATCTCTTGCCTAAGGCCACAATTTCTGGCTGGGGCCCTTTCTGTGCTGCCACCTTCTTTGAGTACCAGCAGTTGCCACTTCACCGATGGGAGTGGCCCCCTGATGTTGCTGGCCCTGGGGTGAGTGGCACCCTGGACTGTCTGTCTCCTAAACTGATCTGCATCTTTGCATATAGTCTTTGTTAAACTCTTCTCAGACTGCCCAGGCGAGTGTGCTGTTTGCCTTTCTAGGGTCACGGGTCCAGTCAACATCTAAAGTCTTATTTGCACAGCGTCTTTTCACTCTGTAGTGTTCTTTTCTTCTTTTGAAGGCGCAAGGAAAACTTGAAGCTACACTGGAATTGGTGCTGTTTGACCTTGAAAGCCCAGAGCTGGCCTTTGAGGCTGGGGGCAGACTGGCTTTGTGCCTTCCTTCAGTGCAAGAACCAACTAACTGAGGATGGCTTCATCCCCCAAGGGGAATATCGCAGACTGCTCAGAATAAACTCAGACTTATTCTGAGAGGGGGAAGGGAAGAGGAAGGTGAGGAGTATGGGGAGGGAGATAAACAATCTGTTATTTTATGTACTGCTGTGAACTTCAGATTGCCAGATTGGCAGGTGTGTTGGTGCACATCTCAGAGGCAGGAGCATTGCTGTGAGTTTGAGGTCAGCCTGATGTACATAGTGAGTCCAGGTTGGCCAAGGTTACACAGTGAGACCATGTCTCAAACAACACCACCACCACCAACCACCACCAATAAAATACTAGGTCAAATGTGTAGGACTGCAATGTTCCTGCTTCCTAAGGGAGCCTGGGAGAAGGCGCCAGGGAGATAACTTATGCTTCAGATTCCAGTGAAAGTTACTGAGGAGACGTCCTGAGTTAGGGACAAGTCAACAAAACCAATACAGGTAGGGCATCCAGTGGGATACTGGGTTGCCCAGAATAGAAGGACATCACCTGCTCATAGAGATGAGGAGAGCTTGAAAGTGTCTGCTAAATTCCCACATTTGGAACTTAAGTTTCAAAGTATCTGTGTAGCAAGTCAAGATCTCTGCCCTCAGGGCTTAACTAGTTGTCCTGGGGGTAGGTATTTTGCATTGACAGTAAAACTGGCTTCAACCCCGATTTGTTTTTGACCTTTCTTTCCCTGTTGAAGGAGAGGCCTCTAGTAAGTTCCCGGCAGCATAGCCCCAAAATAAACACACAGCAACTGTATTCTTTAAATTACTGCTTAGCCCCTTAGCTCTAGCTTCTTATTGGCTAACTCTTACATCTTAACTTAACCCATTTCCATTAATCTGTATATCGCCACGAGGTCATGGCCTACCAGCAGAGTTTCAGCACGTCTATCTCTGGTGGCAGATCCATGGGGGTCTCTCTGACTCTGTCCTTCTTTCTCCCAGCATTCAGTCTAGTCCTCCCCGCCTACCTAAGTTCTGTCCTATCAACAGGCCAAGGCAGTTTCTTCATTCATTAATGGTAATCACAGTGCACAGAGGGGCCTCCCACATCATTTCCCTTCTCACCCTCTGCCATGGGTTGATGCAGAAGTTTTAAAGATTCTTGCTAGACATCACATGCTTGGGCTACCTACCCTTTGGAATCATGAGTTAAATGTCTGTTGGGAATAAATTACCCAGGCTCAGGTGTTCTCTTATAGGGACAGAAGACAACAAAAGCTGGCTGCAGGGTAAACAGAAGCCGAATTTTGTGGCAAGCGAATGATCTCTATCTTAGTATATAGAAACTCATCAACTGGGGTGAGCCAAGCTAAGGCTGTGAGAGAGGTGTAGTGGAGAGTGGATGGGGGGGCAGACGTGGGGCGAAAGAACCAGCAATGTCACCCCTCTAGCCCTTGTTCTTGTCCGGAGCCTGTTGACAACCCCTCTCTCTTCTGGGTTGGTGTGAAGAAGGTCGCAGGATGCTCAGCCCAACCTGCCATCACCCTCATTTTCCAGATGTGAAAACTGAGCTGAGATGAGGTCATCTGGGCCAAATATTGATTTGGCTGGCGTGAGGTGATGCGCAAGGGTCCTTTCTGGGGATCTATCAGGCTGCCATCAGTGTGGACCATGTCAGGAGGCAAGTGAGAACTCAGCTTGCATCACTGCAAAGCCTGTCTTCATGGAGGGGCTGCTCTCCCCTGAGTGGGTTGAGGCCCTCTTCCTGAAGGGCTGCAGGATGAGTTGCCAGGGTCTGGTCAGAAAGGCATCCCACAGAGATCACTGCATGGAGCCTTCACCAGACCTGTGGTGAGGGAGGGAGAAATGGTGTGTGTGTCTTCACCTCGTCTTTTACCATTGTCTCCTATAGATTGAATCTAAGTTAATTGCAAATCCCTGTTGTAAGGAGGGGGCTGCTTGTTGGTTCCTGGCCGCTTAACCCCAAAATAATCACACAGAAACTGTATTAATTAAATCACTGCTTGGCCCATTAGCTCTAGCTTCTTATTGGCTAACTCTTACATATTAATTTAACCAATTTCTGTTAATCTGTGTATGGTTATGTGGCTGTGGCTTACCCACTAAAGTTTCATCTGTCTCTGGCAGGGCTGCATGGCTTCCCCTTTACTCTGCCTCCTTTCTCCCAGCATTCTGTTTAGTCGTGTCTCCCCCAACCCCCCACTAGCTTTGCTCCCTTATAGCTCTGCTATAGGCCCAAAACAGTTCCTTTATTAACCAATGATATTCACAGCATACAGAGGGGAATCCCACATCAAATCCCCACTTGGGTCCAAGATGGTGGGAATGGGGTGGGTGGGTGGGAGCTTTCTGGAAAAGCCAGCAAGTGTCCAGAGTCAAACCTTAGAGCTGACCGGAAGGAGCACTCTTTGGCTCCATCTTTTGGAATTGATGACATAGTATCTATCAGCCATGCCTTCCTCTTCCCTGGCCTGTTTCTCACTCTTTGCCTTGTACAGATTCCGCTTCCTTCTCTTTCCCTACAAGGTGAGAACATCTAGAGAGAAAAACTGACAGGGCTAACTCGAAAAGGTTCCAGTGCCCAAGTCACTGGGGCCAGCATTTACCAGGCACATGACACCCTGCTGAAGGAACTCAGGGAAGAGAGCTGGGCCAGGCAGGGGATATGGAATAATGTTCTGGTCCAAAGCAGACCCTGGGGCTAGCACTTTCTTGACTCCCACATGCAAGGAAGGGAATGGAAGGAGCAAGAGAAGTCAGTGGTGAGTACATCAATGCTGGCTACCGGTGTGGACAATGGGACTCCTTCACACTGCTGGGATCACCCAAGGAGCCAGGGTGGATACCTCGGAACAGTCCAGCTGAGGAAAGAGGGAAGGGGAGTCTACAGTATTTACCTCTTGGATCCAGACCTTCATCAGAGAGGTTTTCTCCAGTCTCCCTTGAATTCTGGTCACTTTGGGTGGTTCCGAGTGTGGACTGAGGGGTCTTGTGGCGCAAAGCCGATCGCGTGCACATGGGAGCTGAGCTCCTTTGTTGCCTGTCCACCAAAGCACAGCTGAGCTCAGCAGAGAGCCCAGGGCTGGGGAGGGCTAGCAATAGCTGCACCCGGGTACCTAATGGAGAAACCGTCTTCCCAACTGAGAGCCGCACATTGGGCACCCACTGTGCTCATAAGGCCATGCAACTTGCATCAACTCATGACCCAACCCAGGAGCCATTGCTATGGAGACAGATGCCCTTGGGTACTGTTTAACATGGATGCCAAGCATTGTAGAACTGCATTGACAAAACTGTGCCTAGCACACAGAAGGCATGCAGTAAAATGTGTCGAAGGAACATTCCTGGCAGCAGAGGGGTTGGGGAGATGGAGGGCAATGCAAGGGTGAGGAGGGGTGGGGAGCTCTGACTCAAGTGGGTCCCAGTCTCTCCAGAGTTCAAAAGCAGATGGAGTCATCCCAACCACGAAAGAGGTTGAGGCAGGAGAATAGAAGGTTCAAGTCCTGCCAGGGCAACTCAGAGAGAGACTCTACCTCAAAATAAAAACTAAAAAGAGAGCTGGGGATATCGCCCCGTGGTAGGGTGCCAGCTCAGTATTTGTAAAGCTGTGGGTTCAAGGTTCGGTTCTAGTGCTGGGAAATAAAGACCAATGGAACCGAGCTGCAGGTATCTAGGAGAGGCGGGAAAATGGACTTAAGGGGCACTGTGGGCTATTTCTGCAGATCGTGGTACCCGTACCGAGTGTGGGAAGATTGATTATTAGGGGAGAGTGTGATGGAACTACTCGACAGGACCAAGAGACTCCAGAGAGACCGGCAAACTGCTCAGCCACTGTGGGAAGGCCACAGCTCGCTAGCCCACTGGAGTCCTGTAGGACCATTTTTGGACCCTTAAGCTAGGCCTCTCCCTGTCTCCTCAGCTGCCTGGGTAGCCTCCTGGGAAACTCCGATGACTTTATCCTTGTGCCTGGTGGAGGAAGGGAGGCAGTGGGCTCATCAGGCCGGCCACACAGAGCAGCCTTTGTGCCCTGTGGCCTCCAGGAGGGGTAGGCTGTCTGCAGGCTCAGCGTCTGCTGGACAATAACACAGACACTCTTTGTGGCGCCCAGCATCCAGGAGGCATGGGGGCGGGAGGCCTAGGGGCAGGTTCCTGTGGACCAGCCAGCTTCTGGGTGGCGTGCTGGAGGTGTTACGATGGTCCCAGCCGAGATGTGGGTGGGGCAATGCACATGCGGGTGTGTGCGTGTGTGAACGTGCGCACGTATGCGCATGCGCGTGCACGCACGTATGTATGTATGTATGTATGTATGTATGTATGTATGTATGTATGTCTGGGGAAAGATCCCTTTTCACTAGCCGGGATATTCCATGCAGCAAATAGACACCAGCTTCAGATCCACTGGCCCGGCTTGAGTGAGTCTCTTCTGATTTGCACTTTTGCTAACTAAAGCTGTGGAGCAACCATGACCCTCAGAGTCTTCTGGGCTTTAAACATCTCTAGAGCCAAGGTTTCCAATGCAAAACCACGAATACTTACTGTATCTTCTCTGGTGAGATTCCTGGGAGCAGGACGGGGCTGCACCTCACTCAGGACCCGGCCTCCCAAGGCCAGGATTCACCCCTCCTTGACTGATTTTCCTGGCTCCACTCCTAGCTATGTTTCTGGTGGAAATCCTCTATACTTGATTCAGTCAGGTCTTGGTAGGCAGGGACCAGCTGCCAGGCCCATTGTCTGCGGAGTCACACAGGGCGCCATGCTCAGAGGTGCTCCCCGCTGGGCTTCATGCCCTGCTGTTGTCATTTTTGAATTTTTTTATTTCTTGAAGAGTCAGAGATTGGACTTCAGGTCTCATGTGTGCCAGGAAGGTGTTCTACCCATAAGCCTTTTCCAATATATATATATATATGCATATATACACAATATACATATACATATATATGTATATGTATATACATATATATGTATAATGTATACAATATTCTGTCTGTGTGTCTGCCTGCAGGCCAGAAGAGGGCACCAGACTCCATTAGAGATGGTTGTGAGCCACCATGTGGTTGCTGGGAATTGAATTCAGGACCTTTGGAAGAGCAGGCAATGCTCTTAACGGCTGAGCCATCTCTCCAGCCCCAAAATGTTATTTTGAGACAGGGTCTTACTAAGCTGCCCAGGCTGACTGAACCTGCCATCCTTCTGCCTCAGCCTCCTGAGTAACTACACCTGACTTGAAATTCGACCACGCTCCTGTGTTTGGTTTGCACTGGACTCTATAGTATGTAGCTAACCCTCCTCAGGGGTGAGGGTGAGGGTAGGAGAGTCCAGGGCCATAAGCCATCAGCATCGTAGTTACCTTTCTGTCCTGGGATCTGAACTCAGATCCTCATGCCTACAGACATTGCACTGACTGAGCTATGTCCCCAGTCACAACAAATTGTTTATAAATAATTGTTTCGTGGGCCAGTGAGATGGTTCAGTGGGCAAAGGCACTTGCTGCCAAGTCTGATGAAACAGAGTTTAATTCCCGAGACCTACGTGATGAAAGGAGAGAATCAACTCCCACAAGATGTCCTGTGGTCTCCATACATACATTATGGCACATATTCAAGTATGTGTACACACAAAAGCTAAATAATTCTTTCATTAGAGTTACACATGTTTACTATAAAAATTTTAAGCAATACAGAAAAATACTAAGAAGAAAGTTTA